AAAGAATAAAAACAATTTCGGTATTACGTGATGATAGAGACACGCAAGAAAATAGAGAGATGTACAGAGGTCGGGGGGGGGGGGGGGGGGGGGGGGGGGGGGGGGGGGGGGGGACGGAGAGGAGGAAGAAGTTATTACATAATAATTTCGAACTATGCTATGTATGAGCAAAATTTATACATAGCAAATATCGTAATATTTGTAATAAAAGAGCTCAATACAATCTTCGAATGTTATATAGTAAAGCATTCGTGAGGGCACGTAAAGTGGCATAACTCAACGTTATGATCATGCAGACGGAACCAATTAGAGGTGGACCCGAGTGGGTAACATCCGGGTCACCCACGGGTGGGGTGGTTATCCGGGTTGCAGTTATGGTCGTCCGGATGGATCAACCCGTAAATCAAAATCTGTTGTTATAATATAATATGGAGACAATGTATTTTATGAAAAAAGTTTGTTACCACGGAAAATTACCAATTCGCATTATACCACGCGTAAAATTATGTATTGTATGATTGATCGTTGTTGTATTCGTTATGATATAGATATACACTAAACAGTCCCTTAACAATATTTCATTTGCTTAACAATGACGGATGAATTCGAAAACAATCGTTTTCAGTTATTAAAATTAATAATTTCAAGTCGTGCGTGACAAAAATAGGTTTAATTTTATGTTGCATGGTTTGATTAATTAAAAATCACGCGTACGTAGATTTTGATCAGGGTGAAATTCTTACCGGGCCGGGCCATTTTTTTGACGGGGTCCAACCTCTATGCATTTCTATCAGCTTGATATTTATTTGATAAGACAACTTATCCGGATTTAGAATACTTTAATGTAGCAAATGACCACAATTTAGAATCTGCAAATTGTATCTTCTCAAAATTAATATTAAAAGTTTACTTGTTTAAAAAGGTACGTATAATGAATATAATGAATATGATTAATTAATTAATCTATTTGTTAATATGCTAAATTTTATCTAATAATAAATTAACTCATATATACTAAGTTCTTTTAAAAAACCGAATTGATATTGTTGAAGAAGTCTTGTAAAAATCGTCCGCATTAATATTGTTATTGTCATTTGCGATTCTAATCTTCTCCGGCTCTTTTCTTCAAATTTCTATATTGGCCAATTATCAAAAAACCACGCGAACACTTTATTTTAAATATCTATTTTTGCCAAAATTATTCCCAGCTTTATGTTAAGCTTTTTCGATTTTTATTGTTTGTTCTTATGGATCATCTATTGTTACAGTAGCAGTCAAAAGTGGCCGACCCCTTATAACTTTTTATACTAAAAATTTTTGTTTTAAACTTTTTAAAATAATTAAAATTACTGTATTAAAATTTATATATTTATATTATATGTAATAACAAAAATTTAATATAATGTAATAAACCAGTTGTTGAACATTAAATTTTAAATTTTGGTATTAAATTATTTTTTTTATATACATATATAATAAAATTTAACAAATTTTAATTTTAATTTCTCAATAGCTTTCTTATTAAATTTTTTATTACTAATATAAAAATGCTTGAAATTTAATATATTAAATTTTAAGAAATTTTAATTTAAAAATTATGATATTAATATAATTATTTTTATTACATTTGATTGATATTTTTTTATTAATGTAAAAAATTGATTTTAAAATTCAGCTCTCATTTAAATTTTGTTATAATAATTATAAATTATTAAAAAAACTCAAGATTATGTTATATTATCTATGCTGAAAACTTCAAGACAATTAATCTTCAATTTAAAAGTTAGAGGGGGTCTACTGTAAAGCAATAGTCAAAATGATTATTTTTTATAATTTTCATTTTTGTTAATGTTCTCTGATAATAACGTAAAAAAATTATAATCGCAACTTCATATAATAAAAAATAGAATTCATGTATTCTAGCACGTCAGGGAGTTGAAATTTTCTCAGAGCAAGTAACGAAATTATGCGTAAATTAAAGATCCCACTGTGCATGTATATTAAAGTCTAAGTTTCGCCATATTCTTTATTGTTTTTGAACATAAAGCACGTTTATAATGTTTTAATTTCACAAATTCACAAACGTATTTTTGAGTTCAGATTCAAACACCAGCTATAACGATAACATACCGTACCGTTCCGAAATTAAGCGCCCCCGAAAATGAGCACCGTTTTTGTATAGTTCCACAAATAAGCACCCCCCCCCAAAAAAATAAACTAAATCAATTTTAAAAATTCGCATTTTAGTAATTTAATAAATGGGGTGGTTCGGGATGCGGGATTTCGTTCATTCGGAATGCCGATCATTGGAATTTCAGTTTGTCGGAATTTCGCACAACGAACGAAATCCAGCATTCTGGATGCACGAAATCTCATACCAAAATGTATGGAATACCAAAATTATCACGGCATTCAGGATGTCATTTATTCGGAGTTTCGTTTGTCGGCATATGACTGTCGAACTAAATTATTTACGGTATTTCTTTAGATTGAATATATTGTTAACAAATTGAAAAATTAAACTATTCAAAATAAATCATAATTTTTAAAGTTAAATAATAATAAATATGGATTAAAATTGGTATATTTCTCACGATGCAAAATATTAAAACCATCAAAGTTTCTTTTTTTGCCAAAACAAAATCGAATTTATTGCTCAGAGAACGTGCTATAAAGCTCGACAAGAGATAATTTAGCTCTTATATGCTCCCTCTTCAATTTAACGCAACATTCCGATTAAAATACCATCCTCTAAAGCATATTGTCGAGACAAATTATTATTGTTTTCTCAGTGAAGATACAAATCAAAAGCTTATCCCTATTTTAGTAGTATAACTATTATTAGTATAACGATAAATATAGTATACAATATATTAGTTATAGCATTTCCTTCCATAACGCTAATCGAATAATTTATCAAAATTTATTAAATTTCAATGTAATGCATTTTAAAACAGCGTGCTTGTAAAAGCAATGATTGCTCCTTATAACATTAAATTTGGTTTTCCGAATAATCTTAGAATGCAAGGAAAAATTCAGTTCGAAAAAATTACTGTGTTTAATAAATCTTAGAACATCATTTCTAAGATTATATAAATAGAATTATACTTGAATCAGTAAGTTAAAAAAGACGTGACGCACAATTATCTACTTTATCTCGAGATTATCAGCTTGTTTGAATCCGGCAATTTGTTTATCAGGCATCAAATATGTCACAAGCTCAAAAAACCATCTGAATAGGTAATGCGACGTAAAAAGTTGCTTCATTGGGAATCTATCGAGTTATGCGAAAATTTTTTTCTAGAGATCCACATCTTTTATCCAATAAAAACGCACTTCTATATTTAAATGAAATTAAGCTGTCAACGTTCCCAAATTTAGAAATTTTTAAATAACCGTGTGAAGTAAAAAAATAATACTGTGTGTTTCAACGGCTGCATTTGTAAGCTGAAAATTAACATAATCTCATAATAGGAAATTAATTCACCATTGCTTGCAATGAAAACCTTATCGTTAGTTTAGGCTATAGTTTCGAAACCCAAAACTATAATCGAAATTATTTGAAATAGTTTAGGCGTCCAACCATAAATTAGAACACTTTGCAGAATAGTCCTTCACTCCTCTCCTGTTAAGTTATTTGATTCTCTTTAATTTGAGAATTCTTCAAAAATTTCTATCCAGAATGTTGAACAATAAATCTCATGATTCTAGAATTTAGCGAGTTTTTTTGTTACACAGTCCCTATCGCTATTCCGTATTCCGTATACATGTACATAAACAAGGATTTATTCGTGTAAAGTGGCGAAAGCTTGTTTTTAAGTAATGGAAAATATAAAAGGAAAAATGTATCGTTGGGGTGTTCGATATACCATGTAAATGAGAAGACTGTTATAGAATCGTTTTTTATATTGCTTTCTTATAAAAAATATTTGTTTTATAACTTATTTAATCGTATTGTTTATTTCGGTATGCACAAACGAATTTTAAAATAACTGGTAAAATTTTTTAGTTTAAACTATAAATTTCGCTCCCTATAGTTCATTCAGAATTACATCTATTGGTCTTTAATGTATTTACATGTACCGGTAACATGTAATTCGGTGTTCTTTATATTGTTACACAGAAATCTTCGTTAGTACCAATTATCGGTATAGTTTCGATAGTATTATGGTCTTTAATTGGTTGTGACTATTCCATAGCTTGAATTCGCTAGTTTGTGCTTTAATAAAAGAGCAAGTTAATAAACGTATTCCCAGTCACGAATCAGAAAGTCACATGTAGGCACTACTTTTTCTGTTCAAATAAATATAAAAAATTTTTTACATGTACTCAGATTATGAACTAAATCAGGAATTTTAATCAAAATTTTTATCTTTAATCTATGTCATAAAGTGGTAATTCCGATTAGTTTAAATAATCGTATTTTGCGTTTCTCATTAAACAGTCGTATAATAAAATAAAAAATATGGTGCTACCTTCAGGAGAAGATAGAACAAGAACCTTACCCGACTCAAATGATGCGAATCTGCCAATGTACTGTTTGTTCGTCGCGTTTGTTTCTGTTCTTACCTCGTTCCAAAATGGATGGAATACTAGCGTTACCAATATGCCTGGTAGTTTATTTGTTATTAGTATGATTTAATTTAAGCTTTTTTAATCTTTATCGACAATATAGAGCACGTAATAAGAGGCTGCGAAAATAGAAGTGGGAAAAACTGGCTACCAGATTGTTTACCAATGAATAATTTATTATGGTACAAACAAAATTTTGTATACATAAAATCCGTTTATTTCGACGACGTTAATTTATCATATCGTCGATCACATGTGTAGTTAAAAATCCATATTCATGTTTCTTCGCTATGTAGGGGTTTCGCGGTAGGAAGCTATGCCCTTGGTGGTCTAATTGGTGGTCTTTCTGCCGGGCACTTGCAAACTAAATTCGGCCGACGCCGTACTTTGATGTTTAATAATGTCAATTTTCTATTAGGTGCATTGATTCAAGGAATCTCTGTGCAACCTTCAATGTTTGTTATTGGACGATTATTAACCGGAATTGGAAGCGGGATCGGAACTGTGACTGTTCCCGTTAGTATTGTGTTATATATCTTTCGGTAAAAACTTATCGTTATCGTTGTATTGAATGTATATTGTATTAGACTTACTTGGGGGAAATTGCAACTATAAATGCCCGTGGATTTTTCGGAACAATCAATCAAATATTCATCGTTACTGGAATAGTCTTTACTCAAGCAATAGGATTTACATTGGACTTTATTCCAGGCTGGCGAATATTACTTGCACTTACCGCTGCTCCTGCATTAGCACAAATATTGTTGCTTCCGTTTTGCGTTGAGTCACCGCGATATCTAATTTCACAGCATAAAATTGATGAAGCCAGAGAAGCATTAAAAAGACTTCGACACGGATTCAGTATAGACAAAGAATTCGATGAGATTGTTGAAGGACAAAGAGAAATTGAAGTGGAAGAAACATCGGAAGGACGAGGAAATGGGATCTCAATGCGCAAATCCTTGACATTTGTTGAATTGTTTAAAGAACAATCGAGTAGAAAGATGACGTTAATTTGTCTGGGTCTGTCGGCTTTGCAACAGTTGTGCGGAATTAATGGAATTATTATTTACAGGTAAAGAATTCTATCTTTGCGATATGGCGAAATAATTCTTGAAAGGTCAACAGGGGAATTTATTACCATTTTTCTTTTTCTTAAGTAATGAGATCTTTTCTAACGCCTTTCATGAAAAAGCGAAATATGCAACTGTTGGGATGAGCGTTACAAATTTAATCACCACTATTTCTTCTCTCGGATTGATTGACAAGAAAGGACGAAGACCACTTTTACTTTCATCCGAAATCGGAATGTCTGTCAGTTCGATTCTCGTTGTCGTTGGATTATTGTTCAAGATAAATATTCTCATAATTGTCGCTGGTAAGTTTTCTATTATATCAGTACATTGTGCAATTCATATGGACAACAAATAATTGCTCATCACACAATAAAACAGCTATATTTTTCGTCATTACGTTTTCTATCGGACTTGGACCTATCCCATTTTTAATTATCGCGGAATTGGCACCAACACATAGTGTCAGTGCAACCGCATCTGCTGCAATGGGTCTAAACTGGTTTTGTAACTTTCTGGTGGGTTGGGTATTCCCAGTGCTCATAGAAACATTGCAAGGTTGGACCTTTCTTGTTTTCGCAATAATTACGAGTTTTGGCTTTGTATTGACATATATGTGGATTCCAGAGGTAAGGGAAGATTACTTGAATTTCTAACAAAAAGTGAATTTTTCTAATTTTTTTATTTGTAGACTAAGGGTCGTAGTATCGAAGCCATAAGTCGAGAAATTCGAGAAGGCGTAGTGATCTTGGATGATAATGGCAAGACTTCCGATGTAGTTAATTAGTATCGATATCGATATGCATACTTTTTCAAATACCGATACATCTATTTATTAATCAAAAATTTAATTGGTTTATTAAAATCTTTAAGTATGATGTGACATATCTACATGCACATGCTTTTATTACGTCTATATTTAGTTTATTTTCAAGATACATGTACATGTAAAGGGATTTCATTCCATTCTTTTGAAAGAACCCACAAGGATTGCTGGGAGGTGTAACTTTAATAGTTTATTAACAGTTATTATACTATACAAGTAATGATCGGGACCACCAAAAAACTATGTTCCTATATAGGGAAATTTTAATATATTTATAATAAGTTAGTTTTTGAAAACTGTTCTTATCCTATATAACTAAAATGAATTAATAAGCATTATAGATCATGCGTGGATTGAATGAACCTGACGATGAAAATCTGCGAATGAATTAGCGTTAGTCAAGCTGAGAATATATAACGTAAAAGATTAGCTCTTATTTACGCAGTAATATATACTTAGGATCATTTAACATTAAATTAAATTCACCTGATTGCACCATATACCTGTACGGTGGGTGATAAAGGTTTTTAGCATTTTCTAAATCCTTTAATAGAATTTTGAGCCTTTCGTCCATTTTTCTTTAAATTTGTTTATTTTGTGAAATATAATTTATTATGTTAGAAAAACCCAAATATATGCGAGTATTAACTAGACTAAATGTCTTGTTTTAAAGCTTAAAGATCAATTCGGAATTCGGAACCTGAGTTAATACGTGCTTCAGATATATGTTGCAATTACATAAATGACATTTAAACTTTTGAAATTTTAATCCGATTATTATTGTTATCGTTACATTTTTCTTTCGAAATAAGGAGGTGGCATACGAAGAAATTGTTGAAAACCCAAATTCAGAACTTGATATTAACATTTTGTTTGATGCTCTGGAAGCATTAAGCGTTTTGTCATCATTTAATAAAATTTATCATTCGAAGACCATATTTATGCTAGAATTGCATATACGAACATGGATTGCAGTTTTGGCAACCATTTGTAATGCTGGTTTTCAACTAAATAAGGAGAAACGTGATGAATTATATTCCCAATTACCAAAATTAAATAATTCCATAAAGAAATGACAAAAATACTTGAAAAAGGCGTGCATTTTTTCAATCATGAATATTCAGAATTTAATCCCGATAAAGAAGAACCAATTCATCTTCAGAATATGAGCATTAATTTTCTTCTCATTCACCTTCGAGACACCCTTCATGCTATGGAGATTCATCAATCCACTTTCACAGAAATTAGGGAACGAACTGAGGCATTGTTTTCTTCAATATTACCATTCTTTGGTAACGGTAATATTGCATTAAACTCGGTAACACCAGTGAGCTTATTAATGAACACAAATTCGATGCATTTTTTTAATGGATTGCGAACTGCGTTTACCTTTAAATATCCAATTTCTGATTGGTATCGAGAATAGAGGATAGCATTTATCAATAAAACATAGATTAAAGGTGTGGTCATTTAAAGTAACCAAAACTACAAAAATACGACGAAGCGTTCCTTATGCGATGCATTTGTCAGCAAGCTGAAAATGAATGGAATAAATCGATAAAAAAACAAAAATTCCGTAAAATCATATACGAGCTCGCAGGATTCGCGCCTGTGGAATTTCCTTTTTCCTTGTTGTTTAGGTTACTAGATCTTGCCCTACAAAATATCTCAAAAATCAGGAAATGACTCAACTTTAGCTACGTGCTATCTTTTAACATTTACATCTTTAAAAAATCGAAACTACTTTCAATAGATTCAAAGCAATCGAGCTATTGCTATCTTTACAATATAGCAAGCTTGATTGGTCTTCTGTGATTAATGATTTAGAGATCTTTGCAAGTAATCTAAGCTCAAAAGATCGTGAATAATTTACAAAATTACGAGCTCATATCAAACCTAAGCTTGAATATGATCATAGTCTGATTTCAAAGGGAAAAAGCTTCTATACATCAGTCAAATGGAGAAAAGATATTATCATTCAATATTTGACTTACCCGTATACTTCAAAGACTTTTTTGTATTATCGTGTATCCATACAATTAGTAAACCTGCATTAGAGAGATTGAAAAGAACTTGTCCTCTCGAAATCAACAATATACCAAACATTATACTCGAGATTTGTTGCGGCTGGATATATACATGAAACTACAAATAATAAACGTGAAAGCAAGAAATTATTGCGGACATTGATATGTTAATCGAAAAATTGAAAGCCGGACTCAAAGCTCTAATTTCATCAAGAAGAAACCACGCTTTATTTCGGAACTTAAACCAATGATAATGATGATATGATGATAATAACAAGAATAGCAATAAAATGAGAATGAATAAAAAATATATATTATTTACATTTTTATATTAATATTGCTATATTTTAATTTGAATTATAAAAGATTATTAAAATTATAAAATTAAATTATAAAATTAAAATAACAAATAAAATAAAATAAAATAAAAATCAAATATAATATATTACTCAGATATAATTACTAAAGCTAAAATATTTTATTTTATATTTTCGACTTATTACAAAATAATTATTTATAATAGAGATCAAAGTATTAAACCATTTATAACTTTTTGTATTAAAAATTTTTACAATATAGACTTTTTGAATAATTAGGAAATATAATATTAAATTTAAGTATTTTTATACTGATAACAAAAAATTAGCATATTAGATAAGTCAATTTTTGAAATTTTTAAAATTTTAAATTTTGGATATTCAATTATTTTTTTTAATATACTTCTAGTATAAAATTTAAAATTTAATTTTTTAATAAATATCTATCAAATTTTTATTTATTATAAAAATACTTAAATTTTGATATATTAATTTTTAAAAATTGTAATTTAAAATATTTTTTTATTTATATTCATAAACTTATAAATTTAGATTTATATTTTATTATCTATTTTAAAAAATTTCAAGAAAATTAATCTTTAATTTAAAAAGTTACAGATTAGTTATATAATAATTCTAATTTTCAGATTTACTATACCATAATTATTGTACTATATTACTATATTATATCAAGAAAATGGTAACATATTATATTATATATTATATAATAAATTACAAAATTATCTTGAATTATTATTTCATAATATATTTTCTTTATATATTTTTTATTATTCTAGTTTTATATTCAATCAGATTATTTATCATTTTATAATTATTATTTATAATTTATCTAATTATTAATTATTTTCATATAAATATATATCTTTAAAATTCAAATTTCTTAATAATTATATATTAATAATTTGTATAATATTAAAATAATTATTTAAAGATATCTTATAAAAGTTATAATTATTTTCACATAATATATATCTTTTAAAAGTTAAAATTTCTTAAATACTTATATATTAATAACTTATATATTATTAAAATAATTTTATTTAAAGATATTTATTTTATTCTTATGTATTTTTAATAATTATTTTAATATTAATAAAATAATAATAATAATAATAATTTATAAAATTAAATTGAAATTATTTGTTTTTAACTATAAATATTTCTTAAATTAAATCTATCTATTAAATTAAATTTATTAATAAGTTCTTGGATAAATCAAATTTTATAATTTTTTACTGATAATATTATTACTTTAATATTATTACAGCAAATCTGATAAGTGAGTTTTCACTTGAATTCATCTTAATGATATTGAATTGAAAGAGACTGAATTAAATAAAGAGAAAGAGAGAGAAATTAGACTATAAACTTTAATACTGATAAAGATTTTTAAGATCTGTGCTAATATTTATAGATATTATTTTTTAAAAGAGCAATTAAATAATAAAAGTAAAAATATAAATTAAAGAAATTATAAAAATTAATTAGTAAAATTACTAGTAATTAATATAATTTAGAATTTAAGATAATTGAATAGTAAAATTATTATTAATCAAAAAAAACTGTTATTATCATAGTAATATAAAATTTCTTAATTCTATAATATTTCTTTGATTATATAAAATTTCATATTTTTATAATTTTATACTATATTTTATAATTACTCTTATTTTTTTATAATTATATATTTATTTCTCTTATTATATTTACTTTTTATAGTTATATTTCTATTTTTAGATATTATATATTATCCTCTTTAGTTGAGATTTATATTTTTAATTTATCTATTATATATAATTTATATATTTACTATAATAATATATTTGAAGATTCTTTTAAATATTTGATAAAATAATTAAATATCTTTCAATATCTTTTTATATTTTTCAACATTTTTCAATATTAACATTTTAAATATCTTTCATATCTTTTAACATTTTTTAATATTGATATTTTAAATATCTTTTCACATCTTTTAACATCTTTTAATATTCTTTGAAATTTATATTTTTAATATTAATATTTAAACTATTAGTATTTTAATAATAATATATATATTTAGATAGTATTAGCTAGTAATTTATTTATTCAAAAAAATATATAAAAGAACCTGCTATCTCAGCTTAAAATAAATAGTTTTAAATTAAATTATTTGAAAAATATAATTAAAAAGCTTATTATTATAATAATAATAATTTTTTTAAAAGATTTCTTTTATAATTATACTAGTACTCTTTCTTTCACTTAATTTTATTTTTTTAACTATACAAAGTTAATTTTGATTTAAATATAATATTATATTGATTTTTGATTTTTAATATTATTTTGAGAGTAAAAAATCTCTACTATAAATAAGTTATATTCTTTTGTTTTTTTATATTATTATTTTTGAGAATAGAAGATCTCTATTATAAATAAGCTATACTCTTTTTATTTAGTTATTTTATTATTTAGTTTAGTTTTTATCTTTTTTTTAGTAATAGTCTTCTTTGATTAATAATAGTTTTACTATTTAATCACTTTAAATTCTGAATTATATTAATTACTAGTGGTTTCACTAGTCAATTTTTATAATTTTCTTGATTATTTTATTATTTTATTATTTATTTTACCCTTTATAAAGATAATATTCATAAATATTAGTACAAATCTTAGAAATCTTTATTCTTATTAAAAATATAGTCTAATTTCTCTCTCTTATTCTTTTATTTAATTCAATTTTTTTCAAATTAAATATCATTAAGATGAATTCAAGTAAAAATCTACTTATTAATTTATTGTAATATATTTTTAATATTCTTTCTGTTAAGAAAGATTTCTATAAACTTTTATTTTATTCTCTTATATTTTAAATACCTTTTTATATTTCTTTTTATATTCTTTTCTTTTGTTATTCAAATAATTGATAAATAATTATATCTTGTATTTTCATAACTAATTATTATTCTTTTATTAAATTATCTGTTAATTATCACTTAAAAATATATTAGAATTTTAATATTACTATTAAAATATTTCTTTAATATTTTTATCTCAATTATTATTCTCTTTAACAAGAATTTTCTCTTTAATTTTGAATTTTTTATTTAATTCTTGAAAATATTGAAGTAGTATTATTAAATCAAATCATCTATTTATTATTTTAAAAGATAACTTAACTCAACTTTAATGAAGTATATCATACTTATCTCAAATAAAGAATAGTATAACTATTAAATACTCTCTTATTTAATTATATTAATACTTAAAAAAAACAACTTGAATTAATTAAATATTTTTATTAATGATTCATTAATCAAGACTTTGTTTTATAATTATAATTAAGAATATCTTCAAATACTAATAATATTTTGAAACTAAAAATTCAGAAGATATCTCTATTTTTTTAATATAATCTATATTAATATCAAAACTAGAAGAAAATAGTAAATATTCAGATTTAGAAAGAAATACTCAAACTAACTCAAAAAATAATAATTCAGAAATTGAAAAGATAATCATATAGCTTTGAATAATAATAATAATAACTTAAATAATCTGATTCAAGCTCTTGAAGTACTTGCTAATCACATAGCTAAACAGAATAACTGACTTATAAAAAAGATAATTATTCCTATTAGAAAATATTAAGAAATTAATCAAGATCTAACTGAATAGCTTAGAGACTTTAATATTGCTACTCAAGCTAATAGAATTATTAATACAAGAAAAGTATAACTTGTTAAAAAATATCTGGAAAGAGTTACTATTCTTTGATATAATGAAAAAAGTAGAAATAATATAATAAAACTAATTATTTGAAATGATAATTAAGATCTACTATATAATTTCTATTATCAATTTGTTACTTATTTTCAGATCAGAAAAAAAATAAATTAATGATAAGATAAAATTGAAATCTTGCAACAGATTAATACTGTGAAAGAATATATAGATAAATTTATAAATCTATTTTATAAAGTAAATTCTGATAATAAATATCTGGAAGAATATAAAATCAGACTTTATAAAAAAGAATTCAAGTTAGAAATCAGAAAATAAATACAGATATTAGCTGATAA